TGTATTGTTTTTGAAAACAGGGTTTCGGCTTTTTGTTGCCCAGGCTGGAGTGCAGTGGCACCGATTCACGGTTCACTGCCTGCAGCCTCACCTCCCTGTGCTCAAGTGATCCTACCCCCTTCAGCCTCCTGAGTAGCCGGGACTACAGGCACTCACACCACACCAGACTAAATTAAAAAAAAAAAAAAAAGAGGCCGGTCCAGTGGCTCAGGCTGTAATCCCAGCACTTTGGGAGGCCAAGGCAGGCAGATCACAAGGTCAGGAGATGGAGACTATCCTGCTAACATGGTGAAACCCCCGTCTCTACTAAAAAATACAAAAAATTAGGCAGGCGCGTTGGTGGCCGGCGCCTGTAGTCCCAGCTACTCGGGAGGCTGAGGCAGAAGAATGGCGTGAACCCGGGAGGCGGAGCTTGCAGTGAGCTGAGATGGCACCACCGCACTCTAGCCTGGGAGACAGCGAGACTCCGTCTCAAAAATAAATAAATAAATAAATAAAAAATTGTAGAGACCATGTCTCACTCTGTTGCTCAGGCTGGTTCCAAACTCGTGGGCTCAACTGATCCACCAGTCTCGGTCTCCCAAAATGTTGGTGTTACAGGCATGAACCACTGTGTCCTGCCCTGCAGCTTGTTTTTATTTTCCTTTTTACAGGATTCGTGGTCCTGGCCCCAGGGTCCCAAGATGGAAAGTACTATCGCTTTTCTTAGTGCCCTCATGAGGAGGAAATGACTTCCCCTGAGAACTTGGGGGAAAACTGGAGATCACCCCTAAATTCGGGTCCTTGATTGGAAAATCAAGCCCTGAGACCCCTAGCTGCCACACTTCTTCCAATGGGGTGGACAGTGAAAGGGTTCAGGGAAGGGAGGGACAGTACTATTTAGGAAAAAAGAATCAGCTTCAGATTTGGAGAGATCAGAGCTAGAATCCCAGTTTTGCCACCAATTAGTTTAAGGAATGTAATCTCTGCATGGTGCCCAACCCTCCCTGCTGGGGTGGTGAAGGTTAAGTAAGGTGATGGAGGGGGTGCAGGGAGTAGCATGCTTCCTCCTTGCTTTGTCTTCCTGGTTGGCTGGACACCAGGTCTTTCTTTGTGGATCCTGGAGAGGCTGAAGACTTGGTCTCTGACCTTCTGCTTTCCCAGGACAAACCGTGATTTCAGGTTCCAGGAGAACCAGGTCACAGTGCTAGTGATTGTGCTGGAGTCTCCAGTCATTCCTTTACCAGATCACCAGGCCTTCCTCTGTAAATCCTGCCATTCTGTCTCCTCTGGACTAAGGGGGAAGGCCTAATTTTCTGCACCCATCCTCACTCCCTGACCAGTTATCTCTGGAATCTGCTCTCTTAAGCAGCTATACTGCTAAGATCCTCCCTTTGATCATGTGGCCCTGGATCACCCCTCAGCCTTACCCATAGAGGCCTCGGGGAAGGGGAGGGCAGGAGCAGGGTAGGATGGGCCTCAGGAGTCCCTCCTACCTAGGACCTCAGATAGACCAGGAAGAAGTTCAGTGGATGTTAACAAATAGTTCCTCAGCTGGATGGACATTTTTAAAAATCTGGAAGAATAAATACCAAAGTATAACAACAGTTTCTAGGTAGCTGGAATTATGAGTGTTTTAATTTTCTCCTTTGGGTTTACGTCTATTCCTAGTATTTCAGTAACAACTTTGAATTGCTTTTAAAGTAAGATATAACATTTATTTTAAATTGTAAAAGAGAAAATAAGATTGATGGACTGCTCATGCATTCCTTCATTTAGCTTATTAGGACAGTTGTGCAATAGGGAGAGGGTAGGTGGTAGAGGAGAGAACACAGGCCTCAAACTCAGAGTGGCTTCCTGAGGTCTTGTCTCTGCTCCTGGCCAGTTGGGTGACCTGGCTTGAGACTTCTCAACAAACCTCAGTTTCTTCATTGCTAAATGGGGACAGTGGCACCTATGTCCCACAGTGGCAATGCAGTACATAATGTGGTGGGTAAGAACACAGGTTCTGGGTCACACAGACCTGGGTTCAAATCCTACCTCTTGCCACATACTAACTTTTTTACTTTAAACAAATTACTTAAGTTTCAGTTTTCTCCTCCATCAGAGATGATGATAACACTATCTCACTTGGTCTTGTTAAGGGCATGATTAAGACAATCAAAATAAAGTTCTTGGCCCAGGACCTGGCACACAGGAAGCTCTCTCTAAGCATTAGCCATATGGAAAGTGCCTAACACACAGTTGTAAGTTTTTAATGAATATGATTCCCTTCCCTTCTTTCCCTTGTTCTTTCTCAAAGCAAGTACCAGTAGGGAGGGTACAGGTGGAAAGGGAGGTGGAGAAACAAGAGGGAAAAAAGACCAAAGAATGAAGAAACCAAAGGACAAGGGCTCTATCCTGAATGATCTTTAGCCTCCTCTGGAATCTGGTCACTGTCGCAGTCTCCTCACCTTCCCCACACACACATATGACCCCAGTGCTTCTGGGAGCCAATGAACCGGACAGACTAGTCTCTGTGGCCAGGCCCTCATGAAGCCCCTATGTCCCCTGCTGGCATCATCTCAACAGTATCCTCCTTCTTCCCAGCATCACCTCAGTCAACAGTGTGAGTGAGTGGATGAGTGGCGGGCATGAGGGGCAGATATTTCCACCTCACTGGAAGAAGCATGGCAGCTGGGGGTCCCAGGGCTTGACTGGTATAGGGCTGAGGACCTGAATGTAGGGGTGATCTCCAGTCCACCCTAGCAAGGACTTCTTACGGGGCTGATTCTCTCATTCCTTCTTTCTCTCCAGATCCAGGCAGGGGAGAGGGAGGACTGTGGATTACAACAGTCTGGGCCGTGAGTGGCAGAACCAAGGGTCCTCTTCCTAGAAAAGCCTGATCCTACCATATTGTCACCACCAGGGGAAGAGCAATTGGTTTTTAGAAGGGTTCTGCCCTCTTCAGCTATAAGGAAGCCTAGGAAATCCTGAGCCACATCTAACTTCTTGCCTCCTCTGTCCGTAACTGGGATGGGTATTTAGCTGGTGGTCTCCATGTTGAGAGCTGGGGTTTTCCCAACATTACCCCAGTTGACAATGGGAGTGAGTGGATGAATGGTATGCTTGAGGGGACACACACATGTTTTTTTCACCTGTGTGAGATAGGAGGGAGTGGGGCCCTAAAGCTCAGAGAAACTTGTGTCTGGACAGGAAGGCTCAGGGGGCACTTGAGTCCTTTCCTTCCTAAATCCTTTCTGTTAGCCTTGGCTTGGTATGACCCTCTGGCTGAAACTCAGAGCTCCTAGAGCGATGGAGTCCACCTTGAGAACTGCAAGGGAAATGTGTTTAGAGGGACGCACTGACTGTGGCTTGAGACGACTCTGGGTGGGGTAAGGAGACCTCATGTGCACTCCCTCCTGATTGGAGGCCACTCACCTACGCTCCTCTGAAAAAGGCAGCAGATGAGCATCTACAAGGTAGGACTCCTCCCTTAATTCTAAGGGACACCTCACTGTTTCCTCCCACTGTCTACAGAGCCTTGACTCTTCCCTCCTCTCAGTCAAGGCCTTGGTTACCAGCAAGTCTCAACTCTTGCTTATTTTTAAGCCAATGAGTTTGAGGAGTGTTTGTGGGAAAGGGAGGAGGTTTTTGGAGGGTTTGACTGGGGGAGACGGGTTAGGGGAGCCAGAGGAGATGGAGAGAAAGAGGAGGGAGAAACCCACACGTGAATGGGGGAGGGGAGGATGCAACAGCTGGATGGAGGTGAATGCCACAGCTGGAGGGGATTAGGAGGATCACAGCTGGAAGGGGAGGGGACCAACGCCTGGGCATCTAGGAACAGGTGCTCTCTGACTAATCTTCAGGTCCAGCCTGCTAAGTGTGTGTGTGTGTGTGGAGGGAGATGTGGGTACATCAGTCCTTGCCCTTCCTTTCCTTCCCTGGAGGGGGCCAAAACTCTCCCTCCTCCTTCCCTCTCTCCCTTCCTGAGGATGAGTGGGAGGAGATGTTCTCTTGCCCTCTGTCCTTTAAGTCTGTCCCCCAATCACCCTCCACCCCACCCCAATACGGTCCTTTCCAGCTCTGGAGGCCCTTCGTCTCCAAGCTGGGCCGCGGCATCTCTCCGCTCCATTCCCTTCCTTCCCAGCCCCACACGCGTCGGGTCCAGGTCCCCAGTTCCTCCATCCCCACAGCTTCAGCATCCCCACACCACCACCCGCACCAGGCCACATCTGCATCCCGACCCTCCCTCCACGCCCGGATCCCAGGACCCGGACCCATCCCTGCCCCCCACCCCCCCACAACTCGGCCAGGCTCTCACCTCGGGGGCTCCGCGGCCGCAGCACAAAAGGCGGCGCTGCTGCAGCTCCGCTCCGGATGCTGCTCCCGCCTCCTCCTCCTTCTCCTCCTCCTTCCCTCCTCCCCCCGCTGCCCTCCACCGGACCCGGGGCGCTGTCACAGGCGATGCTCGTGCGGTGTCCGGATGCACGGGTGTCAGCTTCAGCTTGCTGCCCCCACCCCCCGACCCCTAGCCCAGTCCCTGCTCGGCTTGAACTCCCGCTCCTTCCAGGGCCCCCGCCCCTGGCCCCCCGGGACGGACACGCCCTGAGCGGGGGATGCTGCGATGGAGCCGCCGGCCTCTTAAAGGAGCCCGCTGCTGCCATCCGGCGCGCTCCACTCTCGTCCCTGGCCCGCCTGGGCCCCGCGCTTCCCTGCTGGCGGTGTCCTATGGAGGTCCCACCTCAGGCCTTAGGCTGATTCCACAGGAACCCCCTATGACTCGTCTTATAGACTCCTTTCTACATCGGAGAGAGCAGCCCCTCAGTTGGGATCCCTAGCGCTCTGGCATTGCTCCCCCTATCATACTGATCTTGCCAGCTCTCCTTCCCTTGATTGTCACCGCTCACTCTAATTTCACCCACTTGGAATTCACTCGACTCTAGGCCCCATCCTCCTCCAGTGTTCCTGGATGACCCCTCATTATCATTTAAAGATTCCTCTGGACCTCCAGCCCCGCCTCAGAGTAAGACATCTCTTTCTTGACCCCTTCTCAGAACACTCATTAGAACCTTTATTTATTTATTTATTTTTTAAAAATGTGATATCTCCCTTTCTCCAAGGTCACAAGATTTCCCTTAGCCCAGTGGTTGTGCGACTTTGGGGGGGGGAGGCAATGGGGCTCTAGGACTAAAAAATTTGCGTCTGCTCAACACCCAGATCAGTTGATTAGTCTTAGGCGGCCAAAATTCACTCTTGCTTTCTTCAGCTGAGAGACCCAAGACTCATGGCAGAGGGAACGAGACCACCAGGTGCCTAGTCCTTCTAATCCTGTCGCCCCACACCACAGCCTGATTATCAGGCCCCAGAGATTTCCTTGCCAGTTAGAGGTTCACTAGAGCCGTTCTAAAAAGGTTTTACAAAAGAAGCAAAACCTGAAGGGAGGTGAAGGACAACCTAGGAAGAGGAAGCAAGTTCTGTGTCACGGAGGCCCAAGGGCCAGGGGCTTAGGCTGTGGGTTGAGGGGACTGTCTGAGACTGACTTGGATCTGCACCAGCTCCAGAGCCCTGCGCAGACACATCGGTCCCCTCCGGCGTCTAGGTAAAGCCCACCCTCTCAGACCGCAAAGAGCCCGGATCCGACAGCAACCTCTCCGGACCAATCACAACCTTCCTTCACCAAGGAGGCGGGGTCAGGGGGCTGACTTTTCCTTGTCCCCGCCCCTTTAGTCGAAGTAACCAATTCCAATGTGCCTAGAGGAAGTAAACGCAATGGGAGTAACCAATGACAACATGAAGCTTCTTGTGCGTGCTTGACCCTGCCCCTCCAGCTGCGGCAAAGATGGCGCGCGGGCTCCTGGGTTCTGTAGTTTTCTCGGGATCCAAAAGGCTCCGTGCCCAAGCTAGTCCTTACCGCCCCGCTACCCAGCGGCTTCCCCTCCGCTAGTACGCATGTCCACAGCCTCACGGCCCGGGAGAGAGGGGGCGCGGAAGGAAGGAGGCGGGACGGTATTACAAACAAAAAAATACAGCCTTCTCGAGAAGCGACTGCGGAGAGCCCGCTCCTCCCAGAAGGCGGTGCAGCCGGCCCGGGCGAGCCACGCGGAGGGTTGTGGGGCGGATAGCTCCCCTCCAGATGGAGGCTCATGAAGTAGGGTGGGCGGGGAACTCCATATCCCAGCGTGCCCCTCGGCGGGCCCTACCGGCCGCGACTCCGGGCTTGGCCCCGGCCCTAGCTCGTCGGCGGTGTATTGGGGCGCGTGGAGGCTGCAGTCACGGTGGCGCCCGCGGGGACGGAGGAGGGAATGAGTGAAGAGGAGCAAGGCTCCGGCATTACCACGGGCTGCGGGCTGCCTAGGTGAGCCGCCTCGTACCGATTCCTTCTGGGCAAAAAGCGTGGGGCCGTGCGGAGGGAGTAGCGGCGCGGCCCCAGCATGCACCTGGCCTGAGGGTTGTTCCCGGCAAGCACTGGGGCAGTGGGCAGTGGTTCCCGGCGTGCACCGGGGCAGTGGCTGCTGCCTTCAGCTCTAAATAGTTTGGGGTTGGCCTGGTTCCCAGACTGCACTGGAACACTGGGCTTTATGCCCCCACATTCAGTGCATTTGGTGGGTACTGGGTTCCTGGCTTGCACTGTGTCAGGGGGTATGCACTTTCAACCTGCATGGGGCACAGGATCGTGCCCACCTTAACTGAGGCAGGAGCAGTGCATTCTTCCCCCCTTGCTTTGAGGTAGTGGGCCCTACTCTTCCAGCCTGCACCTACACTTGGAACCCAGCCAATGGATGCTAGACTGCCTGGGGTTCCTTGGACCCTATGTCCCCCATAATGTGCCTAGGTCTAGTATGGAAGTGCTTGGCCAGGTGGGTGCAGAGAGGGGAGGTGTGATATGGGTCTGTGCCCCTTCCCCCAGTATAGAGCAAATGCTGGCCGCCAACCCAGGCAAGACCCCGATCAGCCTTCTGCAGGAGTATGGGACCAGAATAGGGAAGACGCCTGTGTACGACCTTCTCAAAGCCGAGGGCCAAGCCCACCAGCCTAATTTCACCTTCCGGGTCACCGTTGGCGACACCAGCTGCACTGGTGAGGAAGGCTTGGGCAGCCTGGCTGGGGTGTGCATTTGCAGGTCCCCATGGCTTTGTTTCTTGGAGTCTCTTTCTTCACAGTCCTTTTCTTCAAGGCCAGTGAGGGAAGGAGAGATTTCAGGGGAAAAGCTACTGACTGGATTGGGAGAACAGGGCTGTGAGAAGGTGGGTAGGACGTGGGAGAGTTAGAGGATCGATCAGGACTGCCACATCACCCTAGAGGAAAAGGAAGAGAAGATAACTGAAATCCCAGTGGAGTATTTGGGGGAGTGAGTGCCTGGCATGCTGGGCTCTGTTCCCGGTGCTTAACCAAATTCCCATTTAATTTTAAACCTCAGTCTAACCAGTGATGTAGGTGGCAGTATCCCCCCCCACTCCTCCCCCTGCCCGCCCATGTTGAATATGAGGAAACTGAGTATTTGAGATAGTAAATGGCTGGTGCATGGTCACATGCCTAGTATGTGGCGGAGTGGGGCTTTTACTCCAGAGCCTACCCTCTCTTATTCCAGCTCTCTGTTTTTATTGAGGGAAAAGAAAGTGCTTTGCAAAGGAAATTAAAGCATTTGAGTTCAGAAGTCCACCCAAGGCGTCTAAGCTCAGAAGTCCTGCTTGGCATGGCTTAATTCTGGAAGCTAATGGAAAGATAAGGGCTCTTCCTTCTAGCAATTAGTGAAACACTTCCAGTCTTCAGCAGGGGGTGGTTGGTCAGAAGGGGCTTGATTGATTCCCACTGGCTCTGAGGAGAGAGGCTGTGGGATGCTGGTTTCTCTCCCATCCTTCCAGTGACCTCCAGTATTGCCCATGCCCCCTCTCTCAGGTCAGGGCCCCAGCAAGAAGGCAGCCAAGCACAAGGCAGCTGAGGTGGCCCTCAAACACCTCAAAGGGGGGAGCATGCTGGAGCCGGCCCTGGAGGACAGCAGGTGAGGGAGGAACCGAGGCATCCCAGAAGCCCTTCAAGGAACCCAGGCCCTGCACCACCCCCTCTGCCACCAGGCCTGGCCAGGTGACACTTAGCCACCCTGACCTGGCCTCTTCCTGAGAGTCCCTCTGGACCTGAACAGGGTCTTCCAGGGCGTCTGCTGCTATGAAGAATTCTTGGGGTGGAGGGGTTGGTTAGCCCCATAGAGGGGTTGTGGCAGTAGATTGGGACCTGGGTTAGGGAGGGAGAGGGGTGGAGGCTGAGGCTAAAGGGAGTTGCTCCCCAACATACCTCCTTGTTCTAGCAAGATGTCCTTCCTTCACGCGCAGGTTGGAGTTTGTTGCTCCTCTGGTTCTTTGGTACAAAGAGACCCTCTTTTCTCAGTCTTTTTGCCGGTGTTTGGCGGCAAAGGATCCCAGGAGGAAGCTGTTGGTAGAGCCTCCCTGATTCTTTGGCTCAATTTGGAAGTTCTCTTAGGGGATCGGGAGGTCAGGAGGACGTGGGTCCCCCACCCCTCTCTTCCCCCTATACATGGGTGTGAATCAAAGGCCCCCTTCCCCTCGGGAAGTTCTTTTTCTCCCCTAGACTCTTCACTGCCTGAGGACATTCCGATTTTTACTGCTGCAGCAGCTGCTACCCCAGTTCCATCTGTTGTCCTAACCAGGTATCTGTGTTCCCTGACTGCCTGAGGTGGGTGGAGGAAGGGGTTCTGGTTTTTGGCTCCTCAGTCTTTGGACCCAGGCTGGTCAGGCATGAGGAAGTCTGAGAATAAACAGAATGGAATAGTTGGGAACCAGAACTTGAAGAAATCACAGCAGCTGGGGTAAGCTTTTGGGACAGAAGGTCATTTGTGATTTTCAGATAGCCTTATGGATGATGTTCGACCATATTTAAGGGTCTCGCAGGCCCCATTTTCTTCTGGGTTGACCACGTCAGTTCTGTGTTTGAGGCCCATCAGGCACTTCTGGGACTGGAAATACAGCTCTTCTCCCACTGTCCTGGCTTGGATGATACACAAGTGTTCCAGATTGGAAATGGGCTGGGGCCTGGAGAAGGCCTCCCTTGAGTGGGAGGGGGAAGGAAGCCGGCTAGAGCAGGAGGGAGCAGGCTCGATGTGTGGACAGACAGCTGCCTGCCCGGTGGGAATCAGGAGGTGGTAGTCAGGAATCTAAAGTAGTGGTTAGGCTTGGAGCTCATGGGCAGGCTCAGATGGAACCCTTCACCTCAACTTTGACCCTGTGCCCTTTTTCCTTCAGGAGCCCCCCCATGGAACTGCAGCCCCCTGTCTCCCCTCAGCAGTCTGAGTGCAATCCCGTTGGTGCTCTGCAGGTGTGCCCCATCCTCATTTCGCATGCATGCCTGTCTTCCTTTGAGCCAGGGGCCATGAGGGAAGGTTATGTGTGTTTGGGGGTGGGGGCGGTTCCCTGTACTGAGGCCCTTTCCACCCCCCTCTCTCCTTCCTCTCACCTAGAGTCTGAGGCTCCTGCGTGGGGACCAGCGTGGGTGTGAGAAGCCTTTTTTCACTCAGCCTCATGCACCCTGTGTCTCCCTTCCAAGGAGCTGGTGGTGCAGAAAGGCTGGCGGTTGCCAGAGTACACAGTGACCCAGGAGTCCGGACCAGCCCACCGCAAAGAATTCACCATGACCTGCCGAGTGGAGCGTTTCATTGAGATTGGTAACCGGGCAGGAGGGGGTTCTCACAGCTCCTCTCCCGCAGCACTCTGGCCCCAGCCCCAGAGCAGCTCCTAGCCTCACTCTGCTACACCCCCTGCTCTCTTAGCTTTACAGTCCCTGGCTCAGCCCCTTCCTTTTAGCTTCTTGGCACCCTATCTGTCCCCTTCTTCCTGGCCGACCAGGTTCTCAGGTGCACGGGCAGGTCCTGAGTTCCCCTTTCCAGTTGACATTCTGGGGGGACCCTTAATCCAAGTATGACCTGGGTGAAAGCACTGGGTCTGTGGGGAATCATAATCCAGCAGCCCTCTCTCCACATGCAGGGAGTGGCACTTCCAAAAAATTGGCAAAGCGGAATGCGGCGGCCAAAATGCTGCTTCGAGTGCACACGGTGCCTCTGGATGCCCGGGATGGCAATGAGGTGGAGCCTGATGATGACCACTTCTCCATTGTGAGTGGCTCATGTGGGCTGGGCACCGTGGCCCATCCTCCATGCCAGGGCAGGGCTCCAGGGACTTGGGTCTGTGACTCAGCAGTGAGCCTCTCTGGGTCCTAGGCCTGCTTCTGCCACACTTTTCCTACCAGACCCAGGATTCCTGGGGCCGACTCAGCCTTGACTGTAGGCCCGCTCTGTAGCTCTGTTACTGGGATGAGGAGGGATGCTTGGCTATCTGGCCCAGGACCTGGTAGTTAGAAGGGGCCACCCAGGGATTGAGTGGGGGGAGGCAAGCTGGAGGAAGCATTCTTTGTTCTTCTCCTTTGACGTTGAGTATTTCAATGCCTGGGTCCCACAGTCTCTCGCTTCATCTTTCTCACTGTTCCCATCTTGACAGGGTGTGGGCTCCCGCCTGGATGGTCTTCGAAACCGGGGCCCAGGTTGCACCTGGGATTCTCTACGAAATTCAGTGGGAGAGAAGATCCTGTCCCTCCGCAGTTGCTCCCTGGGCTCCCTGGGTGCCCTGGGCCCTGCCTGCTGCCGTGTCCTCAGTGAGCTCTCTGAGGAGCAGGCCTTCCATGTCAGCTACCTGGATATTGGTATGGCTAGCTGAGGAGTGAGCCAGGGGATGGTGGGGGCTGGACTGGAGCAAGTAGAAGGGGGTGATGATGACGTGAACGCACCCCTCCCCAGGGCTACCTCCCCACCCAACATTGCCTCCCTCCTCTCTCTCGCTCTCCAGAGGAACTGAGCCTGAGTGGACTCTGCCAGTGCCTGGTGGAACTGTCCACCCAGCCGGCCACTGTGTGTCATGGCTCTGCAACCACCAGGGAGGCAGCCCGTGGTGAGGCTGCCCGCCGTGCCCTGCAGTACCTCAAGATCATGGCAGGCAGCAAGTGAAGCCCCAGCTGGACTCATGGATGTGCACCCTTTGCTCCCTGCTCTTTCTGCCTCTGGGCTCATGTATCTGCGCAGCTCTGGTACCCTCTGTAGGTACCAACTCTACCTCTGACACAGACTGCCTGCCTTGAGGCTGAGAAGGCACAGGGCAAGGAGCCAAGGACCACAGGGCCTCAGCCAGCCCAGGATTCGTCCTCATTTTATTGGTGATGATGAATGGGAATGAAATCGGGGCTGTCTACTAGAGCCTGGAATAAATATGCTGCTTTGTAGATTTTTAAGCCCTTCTCTTGTTTCCTGAGCAGTGTGGATAGCAGAGGAGGTCACCACATGACTTTTGTGTGCCTTCCCTGAGCTCCTGTTCCAGCCATTCTCATGTTTTCCTTTCTGGCGGGAGGAGGCTGGGCGCAGTGGCCTCCTGGAGTGTTGTCGGCTGCCTTGTTGGAGGGCTGGGCTTGGTGGAGAGGGAAGGGCAGTGGTTCTTGCTCTTGGGCTTCCACCCAGCCCTGTAAAGTCTCACACAGACACACATGGATTTAGAAGCCAGACAACTTTATTTGGGGGGCAAATATTGACACTTTTGGGTGTGGGCCTTGCATGCAAACATATCAAGGGATGACATGTCACTTCTTCCCAAAGCGTTGAGGGGCAGCCAGGCTCCAGAACTGGGAATTCAGCCCCTCTCCAGCCCGGGGACTCAGCCGTTCATTGCTCCAGGATCCCCGGGTATTTCTGCCAAACCTTAGGAAAGATTTGTCCTCAGGTCCCTGTAGTCTCTCTTCTCTAGCCCCCTTCCTTCTCCTCGTCCTCTGTCTCCTGCCCTTTCTACCCCCAACCCCTGCCATGCTTGTGTCCCTTTCAGACTCACCTCTGGGGCTGAAACAGGAAGGCTTGGCTCCGGCCAGGTCTCTCCATTGCCTGGAGCAGGTAGCGCAACAGTGACCCAGAGGTCTGGGCATCCTGTGGCGGGAGGGGTTCACTGTCTTCCTCCTGTGCCAAGCGGGTATCAGGGAAGGAAGATGGGCAAATACCCTGGACATGTAAGTCACAAGGGGAAGGGACTGGCTTCCAGGGGCAAGGGGTAGGAGGCTGCAGAACCATTTCCTCAGATTTGAGGACCTAATGGCAACCTTGGCAGCCAGAAAAAGTATCAGAACCTAGAGCACAAGTCTTAACCGAGGTAGAGGCAATGGTGATATGGGGATGGGACACACACTTACCGCAGGGAGCTGGTGGTCTTGCTGGCCTCCTGGCCCTTCAGCACAGCCTTGGTCTATTAACAGCAGCAGCACCAGCAGTGCAGCAGCCTGCCTAGAATCCATGCTGCCATCCACCCTCCTACAGCCACCCCAGCCTCTTATACCTGCTGTCCCCCCCACCCCCAGCCTCACAGTAGCCTTAGGGGAATCTAGGGCAGGCAAATGGAAATGCAGGGCTCATTAGGAGCCGCCTGGGATCTCCTCCCATGGCACCCCCAGGACTTCATGCTCTCAGCCTCCTGCCCCAGGCCCCTAAGCCTGGAGTTATAGACTTTATTAGATGCATAAATCCTGTCTCCAGAGCTCAAGAAGCGTCATTAGTTGCAGATGCTTTGTCAGAGCTAGGCCCTGGGGAGCCTTACAAGAACCCCTAATCCCTCAACAGGTTGGAGAGCTTCAGTTTATCACTTCCCCTCTTTCCTAACTTCTAGACTAAAGCACAAGAAACTCATGTCAGGATTAGTTAAGTAGGATGTCCTGGAGTGGAAGAGGAGTAGGAAGAGCCAGGGTCAGAGTCTGTCAGGATGACCAGGCAGGGCCACACAGCCTATCCTCTGCTTGTGTGCCTCTTGGAGGCTACTCAGATTTGCCTGTGGATAAAAAATATATTCAACTTCATGATGGTGCAGAGAATTTAACTTTTTTTTTTTTTCTTTTTGCGACAGAGTTTCGCTTTTTTGCCACAGGCTGGCGCTGCATGGCGCCGTCTCGGCTCACTGCAACCTGGCTCAGGTGTTCTCTGCCTCAGTCCGTAGTGGGACTGGGGGGACATGTGTTCTTTTTTTTTTTTTTTTTTTTTTTTTTGGCGGTCTCGCTCTGCCGCACGGTTGGGTGGTGGCGGATTCAGCCTACAGCAAGCTGTCCTGGGTTCGGATTTCGTCAGTGGGGGGGGCGCTGGGACCTACGGCCCTGCCGGGCTAGTTTTTGCGTATTTAAGTAGAGACGCCGGGTTTTCACCGGTGTTACGCCAGGATGGTCCTCGATCTCTGACTCGTGATCCGCCTCTCGCCGCCCCAAAGCTGGGATTACAGGCTTGGCACCCGCGCGGCCTTTTTTTTTTTTTAATTAAAAAAAAATTTTTCTTTGGCCAGCACAGTTGGCTGCACCTGTAACCCCAGCACTTTGGGAGACCGAGGTGGGGTGGATCACTTGAGGTCAGGAGTTCGAGACCAGCCTGGCCAACATGGTGAAACCCTGTCTCTATAAAAATACAAAAATTAGCTGGGGGCGGTGGCAGGTGCCTGTAATCCCAGCTACTCAGGAGGCTGAGGCAGGAGAATCGCTTGAACCCGGGAGTCAGAGGTTGCAGCGAGCTGAGATGGCACCACTACACTCCAGCCTGGGCAAAAAGAGAGAAACTCTGTCTCAAAAAAAAAAGAAAAACCATTAAGATATAGAAGGAGGCTACAGGGTTTTGGAGCCCACTGAATGGATGTGGCTTCAAATCTTTGCAGACAGAGCCCCATCTTCACTAGAGAGCACTGCTTCGGACTGGCCTCATTGCCCTTGCTACAGAGTCGTCCTCCACAGCTGAAGCACTGCTGCCACCCTGTGGTCACAGCTCCTCACTGCCAGCTCCGGCCATTTCCTTTTCCTAGACTAGACCTCTGCAGAGGAAGTGAGGAGGGTGAGGCTGAGTGGAGGTGCTAGGGTCCAGACTCTAGGGAGTCCCAGAAAGACAGGAGCGGGCTACTATGGGGCTGGACTATCATTCTGCCCCCAACTCTGGTCACCACAGCCTCTGCCTGGCTCTGGCTCTCACATACTCGGGTAGCCTCGAATCCTGTCTTAAGAAAAATCAGAATCACTAATCCTCAGGGAGAGGCCTTCAAAGCCATATGGTGCAGGTTCCTTCTAATCCTCGAGTCCATTTCTGAGAATCCCCACCAGTGTGGGTCTCTAGCCTGTGCCGAGGAAGAGCCAAGACATAAAGGCCCCGGCCTCTGCTTGAGCAAGTTGTCTCCCGCTCTGAGCTTCAGTTTCCTCACCTAAAACATGGGCCCATTTTACAAGGAACTCCTTCCTAGGGTGTGCATTACTTCACACACTTTTTGTAATCCATTCAGTAAAACAGCTGGCATAGAACAGGTATCCTCAAAACGTTAGCTGTGATTACCTCACGTGCCCCAGTCGGGGAACTTACCGTCTCCTCAGTCTTCAGACATATTTATCCTTGTGCTGAGGGGGCTTTGGGCTTCCTGTGACTTCTACTGGGGGTCTTAGTTTGCTCCATTAAGTCTCAACAGAACGTCTCTCATCTCTTTCATGTGTAAAAGCTCTTCATATTTTTGAAGACAGAGTTCATTCTTCTGCTTCAGTCTTTTTTTGAGATGGAGTCTGGCTCGGTCACCCAGGCTGGAGTGCAGTGGTGCGATCTCGGCTCACTGCAACCTCTGCCTCCTGGGTTCAGGTGATTCTCCTGCCTCAGCCTCCCAAGTAGCTGGGATTATAGGCACACACCACTATGCCTGGCTAATTTTTGTGTTTTTAGTAGAGCTGGGGTTTCACCATGTTGGCCAGGCTGGTCTTAAACTCCTGGCCTCAAGCAATATACCCGCCTTGGCCTCCCAAAGTGTTGGGATGACAGGCGTGAGCCACCGCACCCGGCCCACTCCATAGTCTTTTTTGCTCAAGGGGAAGCACCCCACTCTTTAAGGCAAGGCATCTAGGAACCAACTTATCCTTTAGATATGCAGATCACAGCAGTTTGGATCTGGATGCTCCAGATACCGTATTTCTATTAATGCAGACTAAGCCAGGGTAAACCTTTTTGTAAGCTTTGTCTCATGGTTGGTCCCAAGCATAGAACCTGGCATTCATCATCATGGCATCTTGTAGTTTTACTTTTTTTTTGAGATGCAGTTTTGCTCTTGTTGCCCAGGCTGAAGTGCAATGGCTTGATCTCGGCTCACTGCAACCTCTGCCTCCCAGGTTCAAGTGATTCTCCTGCCTTAACCTCCCGAGTAGCTGGGATTACAGGCATGCGCCACCGCACCTAGCTAGTTTTGTATTTTTAGTAGAGATGGGGTTTCTCCATGTTGGTCAAGCTGGTCTTGAACTCCCGACCTCAGGTGATCTGCCGCTTGGGACTCCCAAAGTGTTGAGATTACAGGCATGAGCCACTGCGCCCGGCCAGTTTACCACTTCTTAAAAGGGAGTATCAAGGACATGGGAAGATGGCTCTTCTGTGGGCAGTAGCTGCTGCATCCCAGCATGATCCTTGTCTGCTCCTATCTGACAGTGGTCCAGAGAAGCAGCAGTGTGAGGGTGGATGGGACACTGCAGAGCTGGCTCTGGGTCAGACAGAACTCAGTTGTAATCCTAGCTCTTGAACGTCACTGTGTGACTTGGCTAAATCTCAATTCATCATCGATAAAATGAAGCGACTATTCCTGTTATCATGAGATGAACAGTAAAGCAATCTACCATTTCATGTAGCATAGGGCAGACACTCCATGTTTACCATCCTGCTGCTTCTAGTATTTCTTTAAACATCAATTACAAGTGGCTCCAGGATGAGCTGCATTCAGAAAGAGGCTGGTCTAGGGGGCTTCCTGTGTCTAGGATGGAGGTGACTGGTCTCCTTTGAAGTTGGAATGGGTTGATTCCTCTAATTTGGTAAACTGCCCAGTTTTCAGAGTGCATTCCCACCTCCAAAACCTCATAATCTGGGCTTTGGTATTTGGCTTTTAGCAATTTCCTCTCTTACCCTTATCTGGACCCCCATGTACTCTTGGCCACAACACAGTGAAGACCACCACTGCCTTTCCTGCTCTCCTCAGGAGGCACAGGCTATTTGTGTCAAGTGTCTACCAAACCCCAGCCACAGATAGCTTCTTAAATCACTTCTCTCCTACTGGGAAACTCCAGAGACACCTGCTATCTCTTTTGTCAAATTCTTCAGCCTGGCTCATTGTTCTCATTTGTGATGTTAATTATAAAGGAATATACAGATGCAATAAATTATCTGTGATTTCCCTACACGTCTTCCTGATTCCCATAGTCTCTGAGCATTACCTGTT